GAGCTTTTGAAGAAAGACTCCTTGACGTACTCCGGGCGTGACCTTCGAGGGGAGATGTACGTTCGTTCCGAATGTAGCTCGAAAATGAAAGACATGCCGCCCGACCGCAGAAGGGATCGAGGCAAGCCTGGAGGCCACTTGCAGAGCCAGTTGTCGTGTTCCAAAGTGCAAGATGAGGTTTTGGTTAACGATCGATGCTGCCCTGGACTCCCGGCTTGAAGTCCCGTGGCCATTCTACAGGGTCGAGCCCTTCGAGGCTCGGTTTTCTCGCTTTCATTCTGCTGGGTCTTCATCCGTGCATGCGGGCAAGGCCATGCTGGGAGCTCAACTAGGTTGCCGGTTGAGCCTGCTGGATCTCGTCTCCTTCAGCCGACTGGGCGATGTTTCGCAACATTGGGCTGGCAGGTGACCTGGACAGGCAGTGAGTGGTCTTTAAGCACAAAAAGGTTTATCTGCCAAGCCGTACGGGGTCTGCCACTCTGGGGTGAGGATTGCAGGTTTTCTTTTGGGTTTGCTACCTCCCCATGGTTGGCCCTTGAGCTAAGCCTTCACTTCTGAACTTGCATTGATGATCTGAAAGTCATGCTGGGCCTTTTCCGGCGAGGCACCGGGATTTTCGAGGGGTTTTAGTGCGTCCTCATCCGCCTGGGCGATGTTGCCCGTTGGACAATTTCTCTGCCTTGAGTCCTAAGGGCCTTTTTTCACGAGTCTTGCGCCAACGTAGTTTCTATGTGGGAAGGGATGTTTTGCAAAGAGATTCAGCAGCTAATTCCAATCGTGCTGCGATGCTACGACCGCTCAGGAGAGGAGGTTCAGCTTCAAATGACGGGGGCGGCGCACAGGCGTTACACACGGAGCTGCTTTCGGCATACTTTAATTGGAAGGAGGATGGAAAGTGGCTTCAGCGAAAAATTAAGACGGAAGCTTCCGACAAAGATTCGGAGCGACATTTTTTCCAGCTCCCTGGCCGCACCAAGTTTCGTGCCCTGAAGCACAGCAGCTGCTAAGAAGCTCAGTGGCTCGATACAGTCACGTTCCCCTGTCGTATCCCTCAAAACTGAGGTTTGGATGGCTGGATAGTGTTGGCTGGTATAAGCACAGCACTTTGCAGATTGCTTTGGCCTCCTATGAGACCGTGCCTGACATTCAAGCTTTTGACCATCTGCCCATGATCGCGACAATGAGAGCCACCCGGCAAACCGCCAAGGGACATCTTGCGTGTTTTACTGCTGTCCTGATCACGCGGTGGCAACGTCGTGTAAACCAGCATGCAAACAATTCGCAGATGTATGCGCGCCCAGGTCACTGCGTGACTTGCATTGCTGAAAGCCCAATTCTGGTCCCTCCCGGTCGCCCACCGTCGGCTGGGCTTGCATCGGGACCTCGTAATTCAGTCTGCATGTTGCACCTTGGCACTTGCTTGGGATGGCAGACCAGTTTGCAACCTCCCGAGGCCTCGTTCTCATTTTCATAGCTTATGAATACAAGGCGAAGCTTTGTACCCAAACTAGTTCGTCCCTTCCAGACTCCTGGCAAGCGCAAAAGGTTGCTGCGTGACTGTGCGGGTGTTGGTCATCTTGACGTTAATTGCGGCATCAAGCTGTTCTTAGGTGGTATGTATGTACACATGCTTATATGGCTGCTATCTATTTATCTATTTATTTGTTTATATATCTGTCCATCAGTCTATCTATCTACGAGCTAGCAAATACCTACCTATGTATGTGCACATGTGGATATGTACGTATCCATTAAATGGATAAATGTTTACGTGTGTATGTATGCATATATGTAATCATGTAGAGCTTTCGGCTCAATGAGAAGTCCCTGTTCCCTTCTGGCTTGGCCATGGACCCGCGTGACTCGGGGCGCATCCTGGACCGCGCTCCGCCACTGAGTTTCTTCGAGAGGGCCTACGAGGATCTGCCCCAAGCAGTTATGTGGGCCAGCTGCGTGTCACTGAGAGTCCCTGGAGGCTTTCGAGGGTGCTCCCTGGGATGTGGGAATTCCCCAGCCAGCCCTGGCTGTCGCACTGGCTGATGGCTTCTGGACCAAGTTCAGTGTTGGGTTAGAAGTCTGCGGAGTCGTGGCCTGCAGCCCAGGCGAACTGCTGGGTCCTCGGATTCTCGACGTTGGCTGTGGAACCGGAGAGAATGCCAGGTGGCCGAATAAGTGCCATCCAGTCGTGATCAGTGATTATGTTTACTCGGCGAAGCACCAGGTCGCAACCGAGCCATCCCTTTGGAAACCCTCGACCTGAGGCAGTCTTCCTTGCAGAAAACGGATTCGACGTCACTGCCTTCGACATTGTGCCGGCTGCTGTGACTCTTGCACGCCAGCGATTGCATGCAGCCGGGAAGATGTCAGGGCAGCTGGGACATGCTTGAAAGGTTATTTTTGGCAGTTGGTATCACTGGGACCGCGGTTGTGATTTAAGTGTAGAAGATTTCCTGTGTATCGGGTCCAAGGCAAGCAGCATGAAGTGCGGCATCACTTGTTCTTACAACGGCTTCGAACTAAAACAACTAGCGATCACGGCAAACACAATTGTAGGATGAAGCGGTGGGCTTGGTGCATGTGTCAATGCGCATTGATGCTTGTCGTCCTCTTGAGGTCGATGCGCGTTCCTCCGCCGCAGTTCAACTTTGGTAGATGGATCGGTGGCAGGGGCACTGCGATGCCAGCTGCTACATGCCAAGTCCGACCGCCACCCAGGTCTTCCAAGCCGATGTGTTTGCAATGAGCGAAGTACCTGAAATTACGGACCTCCTATACGACACCGTCCTTGATTTTGCTGTTTTCCACGGAATTGGCCAGGCCCCCAGGGAAAAAGATGCTGAAGGACACGCATGTAAGCCCCAACCCAGCCCAGCCGAGGTGACGACGAGGCGCAGCGTGACGCGCTCCGTGCCACCGCCGCGTGTGTCAGAGAGGGCGGCCGTTTGCTTCTCCATGCCTTCTCCGATGGACCGCCTTCGCTTTTAGGCAGAGCTTCTCTGGGCATCTCCTCTCTTTCTCTCGTCTCTTAGCCTCGCAGGAAATGCAGGATATGGATGGACAGGTCCTCGCCGCACGACAGAAGACCACCTGCGCAAGCAACTGGCGGAAACGGGTTGGATTGTCCGTTCCATCACGGCGAGGCCCTACACGCTGCTCGCCTGCAAAGACTGTGTGCTCGGAAAGCGGCCAAAGCATCGGGCCAATGGGCCGAGTTGAGGTATTACGACTGCACGAGACGCTGCTGTGATGAGATGGATGCACTTTTCGTAGTAGCTGAAATCCTGGACACTTGCGCGAGCCTGGGGGCAGCGGACCAAAAGACTGTACGACGCTGCAGAGCCCGGAGGCATGTGTGCGTTCAGCCGGGCAGAAGTTTGATCTTTCGAGGTCGATTCGAGCACTGTGCCTTTATTTGGCTTTTGCCAGTGCGGCTTCGTCTGTTGTGCGGTTCTCGTTGCAGTTGTTGAAATCGGTGCACCTACAATCGCTTCACATGGCTACTGCAGGTGGTTCTTTTCTGGGAAGTTGTAGAGGCCGGTGCCTGACAGTTCGTGACAGCTCATGGCAGAGGCACACGGAACGTGGCAGGTGTTTCGAACCGACAGGGAGAAGGACGTGATCCAGCCTTAGGGCCTTGTGGTATCGCTCGGGAGTTGCCACGGTTCGTGCTCTGCGCAGGATTTCTTTCTGCCCACACGGGGGCCTTGAACTCGGACCATCAGTCTGGAATGTGTTGCAGCTCATCGAAGTGTTTGACTTGCTCAGTTGCTGTGGTTTGACTGTCGCCCTGGCGCTTGGCCTGCGGCATGCCCCGCAACCTAGCTTCGAGCATACATGGACTTGTTGAGACACTGCCATTTCCTGCGACTCAGGCCTACCCTTTGGAGGTGGGGCATGTACTGAGTCTAATAGATGGGCTTAGAAGAGCTGCTTTCGACGGAGAGAGCTACTAGCACTCCCGGAGTGCTTGGCGCACGCGCTGGGTACTCAATGGACAGGTCTTGCCCTTCGTGCCGAAGCCCTGGGGTTTGCAATGCACGGGACTTGGCGCTTGGGGTTGCGGTTGGCAGCGCCCGCATCGCCCGCCGCCTTCGTCTCCAAGGCCAGCACCTGCCCTTCGGCCTCGTCGCCTTGCCGCAGAGAGCAGGGGTGCGGCATAGAGCCGTGCAGAGAATGCTCGCAGGTCTCGGCCTGCGTGGTTTTGGGGTGCTTCGCCTCAGCGCTTTGAGGATGCTGAAGCCGCCGAAGCCGATCTCGAGCCTCTCGAGCCTCTCGAGCCGAGGCTTCTGGGGCCTGCTTGGCTGCTCCCTGAGTGGCCCTTCGCACCTTTGGCCTTCTTCTTCGTGGTGGCCCCAGGCTCTTCCGGTCTTTGTGGCTGGGAGGGCGTTGCCTTGGCCAGGCGTGGTTTCACTTGCGCTACCTGCACTGGTGCCGTTCTCGTTCGAGATCTTGTCATGGGTCTGGCACGGACCTCGCCACTGCCCACCAGGTTTCCTCATGCCAAAGCGCATGGGGACCATTCGTCCCCAGCCTCAGTGAACTTGTGTGGGCTTGGCTCTGTTGAATGATGTATCCAACTCGTGCCTGTGAACATAAACTAGTCTGTGATTCCAGTCAGATCTGCTAAGTACTTGTGTCGGCCACAAGTTGCGTGAATTTGCAGGCCAGACTTTGTTTTCGCCACCGGCTTACCAAGATCATTCAAGACAGTGGCAACTCTCTTGCCGCTTTTCTCTGTGCGCTGCGCCAGGCGAATCTGTTTCCGCAAGCTTTGCGTCCGGTGGTCAGTGCAGTTGGAGCAGCTTGTCCGACACCGTGAGCAGTCTAGCACAAATCTCATGCTACGTTCAGCGGGCACTGGGTCCTGGTCCTTCGCGTGCCAGGCCCTGTCCCACAACTTGGCCTCCACAGCAGCCCCTGGCCTTCTGCGAATACGGCAGCCGGAGGATACGAGCATTTACCACGGTTACTTTCGTACTTCAACGTCCGGAGAGGTAGGGTAACAGACCTTGCAACGTCTGATGCTTTCGAGGAGGATGCAGAGAAGGGCGAGGCCTGTCGCTCCTAACTCGCACGGTTCGAAGCTTTGCCGTCGAAGCCGCGATAAGCTGCAGCAGCAGTGAGTCGTGGTGTTTGTAGTCTTGGAGGTTGTTCTGGTGGTAGCAGCAGTGGGGGTCTGCGTTCTCGGCGGCGATCTGTGAGGCCATCGTCTACGATCCCAGTCGTGTACAGGACGGTGGAGCCGTGTCAGAGCCTGAGCACTCGTTCCTTGAGCAGATCAATGTAAGCACTAAGAAATTCTTCAGTGGAAAGGCTCTGGAACTCAGCTCCGGGAATGAGTTTCAAGCCAAGCTGGAGATGCAAAACATCGGTTGAATTGATCGGATGTTCTCCGATGTTCTGCGAGGTCTCACCGCAGCCACCTCTTCGACCCCCTGGCCTGCCCCGCCTCCGTGGCCCGTGTCACTCGGCAAAAGATGGGACTGCCTGAACAATCAAAGCTTAGCTACCGGAGCTTCAGGCAAGCTGGGGATCCACTTCCCGGCGCACCCGGTTCCAAGGCAAAGCTTGTGCCTTTTGAGAACTCTGCTTGGAGCTTCGGTCAGAGCATGGGGAGGAGTATGACGCCCGTCGTGCCAAAGCTTTGAAATTGCTGGACGAATCCATCAGCTCCTTGCTGGCGCCGCAAGCGCCCAGAGCTTACTTGAGCTTGCAGCCGGAGGGCATAGAGGTCCCAGGATTTGCAGATATACCGCATATATAAAAAAGAATATATAAATACATTTGTTTTGTATAAAAATGGTGTCTTTATGTATATAGTCTAAAAAGTATGTACACATAGTATGTATGATATAAACATATCTATACATATGTCTGGTCTAGAGTTGAGTTATATAGCTAGAGTACTTATAAGCTTGCCGGCTCTGGCGCTCAGTTCGGGTCCTTCGGCGGAGCCGGGCGCGGGTTCTACCGCCTCAGCGCTCGCCAACGGTTCCAGAGAGGAGCCAGAGCCAAGGCTGGGTGGTGCAAGACGTGTTTGCTTTCAGGTTTAGGGTTTTTGCTCGTGGTATAGGCCTGGATGGAAAACGGATCCCAGGGTTTGGGGCGGAGTAACTCCAGCCCTGGCCAGACCTCGAAGTCTAATGGAAGTCCTCGACAAAAAGGCAAAAACTAAAGATTCTGCACTGCAGCATTTCGGCACAAACTTCGACAAAGCTGCGAGGGAATGCCGGCGCTGTCATGCAGCGAACACTGGCCCAGGTCATTGGCTTCAAGTCGCATTCTTGTAAGCACTGGAGCAGCCATTGGCTAGTTGGAGTGAGCTGCTTCCTCTTCGCTCCAGCATCAGCCGCCTTTTGGGCAGTTTGGTGGTGCCTTCTACAGTATGCGGACCTCAAGGCTTGTGACATGCATTGGTGAGTGTGCCTCAGTGGCGTCGAAAGGGAGGGGTGTGCAACAGTTGCAGGACCAAGGCAACATGCTGCAGATGATCCTGTACTTCTGCCTGGCTGTGACATACACCCTGGCATCGAGGAGTGGAATTAATCACCATTCGCTTTCTGCAGAGTGGGCCACGGTATGTGTCGAAAAATGTGTTCAAGCTGCTCCGTGAGCTGCCCGTGTGCTCAGGTAGTTATAACATCATACAGCGCGGACTATCTTTTCATCCGCCGCGGGCAGCGCTCCTTCTACGGACACGAGACATCAAGCCATGAATTTGTTCTTCTGTTGCTCCACGTTGCTCCACGAAGATGATGTCTAAGGAGGCGTCTTAAATTTTGGACGCTTCGCGTCGTCCGCCTCGGCCCGGCTGTACTTGAAGCAGGTTCATTGTTTAGGAATGCAGCGGGTAGGTCACCCAGGTGAGAGCGCATTTGCTTCAGAATGTAATGTGCTGGCAGTATTTCTGAGCAATAATCCCACACGAAAGGTGGCACATTCCCTTCATTATTATCCCATAGACGTTACTACAATAATCGTATCAGATTTCTGGTCTCGTATACCATCTCCCATATATTGGAAGGGAAGCCACGCTTTGTAACGAAGTACCAGACACAGCCCCGGAATTCCCAGGCTTTGGCTTGGCATCAACTTCACGAATGATATAAGCTAGCCCGTCTTGCCTCGCCGGAGAAAGGGGGGGTGTGTGGGGGGTAGTGGCCCAGCCAAGCCGGGGGTTGGGGAGTGGATCAAGAGGAGGGGAAACAGGGATTTCCTGTTAAAACACTCTGACCGGGGCCGAGGCGAATTATCTTTGATCTTGCATCCCAGGAAGGGTGGACATCGTAGTGGCATCCGGCACCCTGTTCCTGTCAACCTTTGACTTCTACCTCCGCGCCACTGTTTGGGAAACCGCTCTGCTGGTGTTGGTGCCATGCTGCGCTTTTGCCCCATGCCGCAGGAAGTGTTGTTAGCATTGAAGTGCTCAACCCTTGTACACCTGGCATGCAGCCTGCGATCCAGGTGTATTCCACCCAGTCGAAGGCCTTTGAGATATGGATTTGGCGCCATACCCTCTGGCACTTTACAGGTGGGACAATCGCCCTTTACGGGTCTTTGCGACTGTTGCCCGCGAAGCACAGCAGCAGGGCAGCAGTTCAGTCCAAGAAGACCTGCCGTACATTTGCACGGAGCCTTTCGGTGAGACTGTACTTCCTGCGAGGCATCATGGCAGAACTGTGGCTTGGACGCGTGGAACCGGTCCTGTGGCATGCTTTGCAGTTTTATTCTTTGCCAAGTGAAGAGCCAAGACTAAGGCCGTGGTGTCTGTGCTTGACAGAGATGACATATGCCATAGGCATCGCAGTCTTCTTTGTGCTGCGTGGCACCTGTCCGAAAGACCGTCTGGACGAGCTCTGGCAAATTGGTGCGAGGCGGCGTTGGCTGGTTTGAAGCGTGCGCGTGAGCGACGTGTGCAGAAGTCGACAAAGCCCTGAGGCACGCACATTGGCAGCCGGTGAGTGGGAGAAGCTCGCATGCAGGAACAAGGGTCTCAATGGAAGCATGTAATGAAAATGTGATGCATACCGAGGATAAAAATCTCTCAGCGAGGCGGCCTTCACGCTGCTCCGGATGGTGATGTTCAGATTCCGCTTGAACCGGCACGACTTTGCCTGCAGACTGTCCTTTGACATCGCTGCGGGCAGAAAAAGACCCACGTCCACCAAATCAGCTTGGGAGCGAATATGTGTCTGACCCTTTTGGCTAGAAGAGGGGTGTGGCCCAAGCCCAGTTTCCCAACGATGCAGGCATTCTGCACCTGCCAGTCTCCGTCTCCTCCCGCGATTGTGGTGCCGCAAGTGGGGCATGGCAACTTTGTGCCTACCAGGGAGGCGGCATTCCCTCGAGCCAGTTTCTGCAGTGTTGGCCTCGGCACATGTGCCGCACGACTGCTGTGGCGACACCAGCTTCACCAACGCAAGAGTCATCGATGCAGGCGACGTGCCAGTGATTCTGGCAGCTTAAGCTGGCTGCCAAAACTTGAGGTGTACTTTCCGTGGCCTAATTTTGGGCCACCTGAACCGCCGTCCTGCGCCAAAAAGCTGCGAGACCTCCTGATTGCTGCGGAAGCTAATGGTTTCGACGCTGACGTACGGAAGACCGTGGACGAGTGCATCGCAGAACTTCGCCAGGCGCGCGTGCAATGCCGTGCGGAACTGCTTGGCTCCAGCACGCTCCAAGAGGACTTGTGGCGCGTGGCATACATTCAGGGCCGAACTCCTGGCTGGGAAGCCAATGCACAGCTCCTGCGGCCACTGTTTCGCAACAAGGCTGGCCAGGCTTTTGACTCTGCAGCCGGTCGGGTCATGAACTACGGGGAAGTGGTGGGATCAGGTGTTTATTTCACAGCAGAAGGCAGCTTTGAGGCTGTCGATCGGGCAGAGGATTGTCCGAAAGACTTCGCTGTGCAGATCGAGCGGGGGGGCCTTGTAATCCTCGGCCTTCCACTCCTGTCTTCTGCAATCTCCGGACCGGGCCTTGTCCGTGTTCTCTACTTAGACCGCGATGTTCGAATATTTGAGACCGCCGCAGACTCCCCCGACCGTTGGGAGGAGGCGGGCGTGCGAGTGGTGCAGGTCCGCGACCAACTCTTTTCGGCCTAAGGCTGGCCCCTTAAGCCATGGAAGAGTCGCCCCGAAGCCTCTTGTGACCAGGCCGCCATCTTGGTTGAAGTCAACGTTGATGCTTCGCAAAATCTGGTTCGATCCCCCCATGTTGTTCAGGGATAGGGGGCAGCTACTGTAAACCCACACAGCCAGTTGGTTCTTGGGGGCAGGGATGACTTCAGTCCATCTGTCTCGCGAGTCCTTGAGTGCTCAAGATGTGGCAGTCTGCAGCTTGAGCTTATGTCGCCACATTTCTCAACAAGAAAGCCCTTGCATCATGGCCGGGGCGATGCTTCCGCCGAAAGCGCCAGCGAAGAAGAGAAGGAGGACGTCCGTGCCTCGCAAACTTGGCAACATGGTCATGAGTACATATATGATCGAAAGATGAACGGATGCATAGCTTGTAAGAAGGATAAGGAGATATTGAAACCCCGCAAGAGTGGATTCCCAGCCGAACTCGAGCGGATGCATGCCACGAGGGGTTTGTGCTATCAAGCAAGCAGCAAGCAAGCAACAAGAGGCGGTCAGAGGTACGGCGGACCTGGGTATGTATGCAGGAAGCAGTGCCGTTGGTCTCCACAGAGCGTAGGGTAAACAAACAGGATGGGTGTCATTGAGCGAGAGCATTCACGATCATACAGATATGCGTGAGTTGGTCGTGCTGCCCATGCTGTGTTATGTTTTGCATAGCGGCGGTTTGCCAGGTTGGAAACACAGCATCAATTACTCACGTGGTTTTTCTCGTCGACAACTCTGGCAGCATGGAGTGCGAGAACAGAATCCAGATGGTTTTTGATGCGGTGCAGAATCTCCTGCAAGCCATTTTGGGTATGGATGGAATCGTTTGTTCCCTGGTGACGTTTGACGACACTTTCAAGGTCTGCTTTGAGAGGCCCGGGCAAGTTTTCTTTGTGCATGTGCCCACGTTCACGGCCGGACCCGACTTGCAGGCGGGAAGTGGACCAGCGTCTGCAAGGATTGGTGCGGGAAGTCTGCCAGGCGACTCGACCGAAAGGCACCGGGCGATACCTGGAAGCCCTCGCAGCTTTCCGAAGCCTGGTATCTGGAGGAATGACAGTTGGCATCCTTCTGAGCGATGGTGAACCAACCGAAGTGATTTGGGAGCACCGTCCCACAGCCTGCATTGAAAATGCTATGCGCGCAATCCGTCAGGAATTTGGCAACAGGTGTATATCGCACACGGTTGGCTTTGGTGATTTTGGCATGTCGATGCTGCAGAGCTTGGCACACCTCGGTGGTGGCACATTTCACGATTGTCAAGTCGTTCATGAACAACTGCAGTCCATCTTCGGCCAGCTAGGCACCTCGGTGGTGGCCTCAGCAAGAGCACACCAGAACACCTGTTTGAGAGATTCCTGTCGGAAGAGAGGTGTCTACTTTGCACGGCTCACTGCTTGGCTTTGGCGAGGAGGCCCTGACCCGTGTGCCTCCAAAGGACGATGTTGCCAAGCATGTTGCATTCAACCCAGAGTCCCAGCGGCCATGTTGTATCCTTCTGAGTATTACCGCTTTGAAACCTCTTATCCCGGCAGGACCTAGAGCCACCCGGTGCATGGCGCGGAAGCGCATCAGAGCTCCGAAGCCGCGCTCGGCCGTGCCACTTGGCCTTGGCAAAGCGGCGAAGCATCAAAGCCAAGCGTCCAGTGGGGGCCTCTGAGGCTGGGCCTGGCTGATGATACAGAGAGGGGAGGATGATTTGCGTTCATGTGGAGACGCCCGCCTCGTGCCGCTTTGTTCCCATTTAGTTGAGCATGGTGCGGGGTGCAAAGGTTTGGGAAACCAGGCAGTAATCAAAACTAGGTGGTACATTGATATGTGCATTACTAGTACGAGCTCCGGCCCTGCGGGCTGTCCGGTTGGATTGTGTGAGATACCTGAGGTATTTGCATCACCAGCCATTTGCGCAGGGAGCACTTCGAACCTCGTTCTAATTTAATCGGAGGCATTGTGGGCTTCCGTATGGCTACGGGGTGTTCAGCACCGTACTAGCACTGCGGAATGAGGATATGCATATCACGCCCGGAGTGCGCATTGGTACTCCGAAGATGCGGTGTCCGGCTCCAGATTTCATTTGGTCGTGAAGGAAAGCAAGTTTGTCGCAAAGCACAGGCCACTCCTGTCTTGCCTCGCATTGTTGTGAGCACAGCATGGGCGGTTTGTGGGGTTTTGGCTGATTGAATGCGACACCTGGATGCAGGGCCGAGGACGTGCACAAGTTCTTTTTGCAAAACCACCGTCGGGCGCAGGAATTTGCCAAAGCTTTCAATGCTGCCATCGACAGAGCCAGGGAGTCGGAGTGTTCCAAGGTGAGGTTTGTGCCAGCTTATGTCCTCAAGATCAGGGACGAGGCACAAGACGCTGGGTGCCGCTACGTCACAGCCGAGCGCTACATTCCAGGAAACTATGTCAAGTTGAATGGCAACGATGGCTTTGTTGACTCCCAGAGCGGCCAGGTTGCAGAGGTTGGATGCCCAAAGTCCCAGTTGAAGCCCTGTCCCTCACGGCCTACGGCCTAGACTTCTAAGACGGCCTAGACTGCAGTGCCCTGTAGGTTGCTGCCGCATTCAGCCACTTTACTTTTCAAGACTCCGGAGGTCAGGAGCTGTGTGTTGATATTCAGGGAGTTGGAACGACTTGGACCGATCCGCAGATTCACAGTTTGCAGAAGCAGTTCGGGATTGCTGACTTGGGCCGCCGTGGTATGGACATGTTCTTTATGTCTCACAGATGTGGCCCGCTCTGCCAGAAGCTGCTTCTTTCGAAGCCTGGCATTTTGCATGGAGATGAAGATCGACCACGGCAGCCTTGCGTGGTCTGTTTGGATGGCCCTCGTCGGATGTTGTGCCAGCCGTGCCGGCACCTGTGTCTGTGCGAGGCAGGTCTGCTGTCGCAATGTCCAGTACCTGTGCAGTGCACTGTGCGTTTCCTGCTTGGTCGAACCACTTGCGAGGCTTGCGCTGTGGGCATGCACAGGTGCCCGATCTGCAGGGATCCCACCACCTCTATCGTTTGGGTTGCTGACGAGCAGTCTGGGGTCTCGTCGACATATGTGCGTGAATCCGAGCTAGATCGGATGCGGCATGTGACAGCGGTGGGAAAACAGCGAAAGCTGTGTTCGGCTGAAATGTTAGTTGCGGCATCACTGCGGTATCTCTCACAATCGCAGTGGGCTCAGACTTCTTGGCCTGCGGGTGTTGCATTGAAAGTGCGCCATGGAGGTCGGAGCGCGAGTCTTCAAGCATGGGCGGGGTCTCGGAATTGTCGCGTTGGATAATGAAGACGGGACGTGGAACGTTGAATTTGATGACGATGGTGCGGAGGGTGACTTCCATGTCGAGGACGGGCCATTGGGCTTTTGTCATCTCTTGCTTTCTCCGGCTCGAGCCTGGCGCGATGAGGACCTCGTGCTGGTGAACAGCCTCTCCTGGGCGCCGGCGGGAGCTGCTGTGGTACCCTATCCATGGAGCCAAGAGAAAGCTGAAGGCCATATCAGGTTCGTCTGCTTCAGTGCCATGTCGGCAAGTGCTCGCTCGCGCAAACATGCATACCCTTTTGATGCAGCATTCCCAGAGTATCTTCAGGTGATACCCATGGCAGGCATGACCTCATCCCGCGGGAGCATCGTCCACCAGCCGATGTGCTCCTACATGCAGGCATAGCTGAAAGTCACATCTCAATCTAGGGTATCAATGAGTGGGTGGAAAACAAGAATGAGTGGCCGACCCCCGTACCGTCAGTGGTTGGGTGCGCTTATCAGAATTTTGAGGTTGTTTCACAGGTAGTGGGTTCGTTTCCTTAGTCCAAGTTTTCCGGGATCGGAACCACGTGACATCACGAAAGCGAGCGTGAGCGGCAGCGATGCCGAGTGCCTTTCCGTGTACCGCGTGCTTTCGAATTTCTGCCGGTTCAACCATGCGCACGTGTACATTTTTTCCACCTTATACTCAATCCGATGGCGGAAGTGCAGCCTGTTCTTCCCGTTTCTGCGGGGCTAGTCAGACTGGGCATGTTAACTTTGCTGCCTGCGCGATTTTCCATGTGCTCGAACTGTCGGGCAATGGCAAAAGCACTAATTGTTTTGGGGAAATGTAGACTCTCCAGATTAAATGTCGGACGCAGTCTTGGCAAGTGCATCTTCTGCGGAGGTGACTTCACGAATACAGGCGAGCCGGAGCAAGTGAGAAGCTTTGGTGAGTGGCTTTCAGCATACCCAGCGCAAGAGAAAATAGTCATTGCCGGAAACCACGACATTACCTTCCATGAGCAGTACTATAATACACGTGGTGCTGCACGATTTCACAGGGGCGGTGCGTACGATTGCCACAAGGCACGGAGCTCATTAACAGGCTGCACCTATCTGGAGGATTCCGCCGTGGACGTTTTCGGGTACAAAGTGTATGGGTCACCATGGCAGCCGGATTTCTGCGATTGGGCTTTCAATCTGCCCAGAGGCCAGGAGATCCGCAAGAAGTGGGAAGCCATCCCGGATGATACTGACATCCTTTTAGTGCACGGGCCGCCTGCTGGTCATGGAGACCGCTGCCGTCATGGAAGGGTCGGATGCCAGGACCTGCTGGAAGTTGTTCAGAGCCGCACTATCTCGGCCGGGTGTCTTCAATACTCAGTCAGTAGAGTCACTCGCAGCTTCGGAAGTGAGGGCAGGAGAGAGTCCATCTCGCATGCATGCTTGAGCCAAAGCTGGTGCACGCAATTTTCAAGCTCAGCATCGCCTGCGTTGTCCCCCTGAGGTGGTGGTGGCTGGCCACCTCCATGAAGACCACGGCTGCACCACAGATATGGTCACCCTGTTTGTGAATGCTTCAACCTGCACCTCGGAGTACAACCCGACCCATCGACCTATAGTCTTCGACCTCCCAAGGCGTGAGCAGCTTCGTCCTGTCACGGAGGCTGCAGCTCTGCACCGGGAGGCCCCCAGAAAGGGAAAGAGCCCATGAAAGGGGAGCTCCGGCAAGGCCGAGGCGACTAAGGCCACCAGCGGGCTGCTGTGCAGATGCAAAGGCTCTGTTGTTGTACAGTTCAGCTGAACCTTTGCTTGCCCTGGGTGGTCAAAGACAAGCACAAGGAAGGCAGTTGCAGCGCCTTCAGTTGATGCTCAAAAAGGAGTTGAAGCCAGGTCCTGAAGCAATGCGCTTTTCCTTCCAGGAAGGTATCCCCACAACCCCGGGAGAATTGCTTCTGAACATGTGTAAATGTCTTGCGACTTACGAGTACGCTTCCTCGTTTGTCTGGACGGCGCCAGTGACACATGTACGTGTGCTAAATCTTTGGTTTTTGCTGCTTCAAGGCATGAAGGGAAGGTGATTTTGGGCTGAGACGACCGGAATTTCGGGTGCTTCCTGTGTCGCTTCTGGGAGAACGTGGGAGTGCTGGCAGGATGCCATCACCAAGCACGACAGCAGAGCCCGAGGTTCGGCAGGGTTCTGCAAGCTGAGACGATTGCTGCTGCGAAGTGCAGGTGGACGAAGTGCCTCCGGACCAGGCCAGATCTGGGGCTTCTGGGTAGCCTGAGCCACCTGCCTGTGCATCACGGAGCTGACGCTGAACCTGCTTTGGATTCAGGGTTCCACCGAACGTGTTCGCTGGTTTGATAGTCGGACGAAGGTGGCGGTTGTGTTGTCGGCCAAGGCAACCGTCGTCCATCTCTGTCATGGTGTAGACTCCCGTATTCCTACGCTATTCTTATAGTAACCCTATAACAACACGTATGGTACCCGTTAGTGCCCTAGGCTTCTTGGAGCCGTTGCTCTTACGGTTGATGCCTGTCAGGCTGGGCAAGGCGCCGATGTGCCGGCGCATCAGACAACTTAGTACAGGTCATGTGCTCGAAGCCAAAGATTGCGAGCCCAAGTTCTGTGCGAATAGGATTGGTGTGGCTGGGTATCCTGCTTACTCGTCTCTGCTGTGGCACTGGCTCGAGCATCGCAGGCTTGGATGAGTGCCACACACAGACTTTGGGGTGCCAGTGCCATGACATCGTTGCTGCAACGGCCCGGGATAGGTACAGCAGCTTGTCGTTCGATTTGGAAGCGCTCGGGCCAGTTTTTCACGGTGCTCGGGGATTGTGGAGAAGCGCGAAGAACCGATTCGGACACAGCCACAGCTACTGTACACTGCCATCCTTGCATGATGTAGGCAGGTCTCTTCACCACGATACACGCAAGAAGAAGAGACACGTTGATTGCGGCTTGCAAGAGTGTAACAGCTTACTGCCGACTGAATTCTCAGGCCTTCGTTGCCGTAGCCTTGCTGGCAGTGGGAAGCTTTTGCTCCGTGGTTCCTCGTCACCAACCCGGAGAGCTACCTTCACCAGCACGCCACTACTGACTACTGATCTGCCGATGACCTGAGGTGGCCTTGTCGTGCATGTGGTGGCAGGGTGCTGTGGGGGCCACCGCATTTGCCGGAATGGCTTCTGCGCAGGGCCACTGGGCTTCAGCCATCAGAGATCTGCGAGCAGCACTAGAGCCCTTGTTGATGTCCTCAGGTGGTTTAGGCCTGTGGAAGTTCGTTGGGCGCTCCGACGTCCTTGGTGTCAGCCTGCCCTCCGCATCCATCAGCTTGGACTCGTCCGTGTTGTGTGGTGGCGACTTCCAAGTACAGATCCAGGCCTTCCGGACCGCCATGCCAGTATGCACGGAAGACTAAGACTTGTGGTGCACAGGAAGAGGTCTGCTCCGGTATTCATACAACACGTGGGTTTGCCCGGCGCTTGGGCGTTGAAGCACAGAACAGCACCTGTGGCGAAGCTTCTACAGGTGAATGCGGCTGTTTGCTGTTCAATCGTCGCAACCCTGGCCGCCTTGATCTCCGTCCTGGCACTGTTGAACTGCGGTGGTGCACTTGACCCTTCACTCGGAGCAAGGCCCGACTGACTGAGAGCGCCCCCCATGCCAACATCGATTTGCACTTGCGACTGTCAGGCTCTTGCTGCCGTGCAGTGGTCTGGCCACTGCTGCAGCTGGGCTAATGATTGCCGCAATGATCATGGGAGCAGTTGCGGGACATGGCATGGGCTTGGGCGACTTTGGCACCTTGAGCTATGCAATGGGTGCCGGCGTCTACGGAGCCTTGGTAGCAGCTCAGGTTTTTTTCGCTCTCAGCATGCCAGCCGCAGCCAGCCTGTCAGTGTTTTCTCTGTGTGACGGAGGTGCGATCTTCCAAATTATCACTGTGCTACTTGGAGCTGCTCTGGCCGCCTCGGCCCGGCCACGAGCTGAGCGCAGCATACGAGGGACGCACCGGAGGCCAGAGGGCGCTTGTCACCGAAAAACGCGTCCGTGTGAACGTTCGCTGAGGAGCAGCCTCAGCTGGAAGAGCTTGCCACACGCAGATGCAGAGGCTGAGCCTCGCGTGTAATGGGGGATGCGATCTTTGCAAATCAAGAATGTCTCCGTTTCCTCGTCGCGTATACAGGACTCAGTCGACGATAAAACTCGTCGTTTGGGTTGCTTGCGACTGAGCCGATGTATCATTTCAAGTGCTGTAATTAGTTAGTAGTTAGGTTAGGGGCGGCAACTGGACTTTGGCAGCTGGACTTGGAATGCTAAGTGACCTGTACTGTGCTGCTTGTTCCAGTCCGGACTGCCTGTACAGACCAGTTCCTGGTGCGGTACACGGCGCGCACCGAGACATCTGGAGTTTGGAGAAAGCGCCGGCTGCGAGTTCAGTGCGCATTGCGGCATTCGGCAGCCGTTCTTGGGTTACCCGTTAGGGTGCCTGTTTGTGCTGTTGGCTACAAGCTTCCGAGAGTCTTGGTAGGGCCCAGAGCCCAGAGCCCCATCGGCTTGGGAGCCATGGAGGGCAAGGACTCCGGGCTTTTTGTTTGGTCGCTTTTAGTTGGGTGGCCGTCGGTTCTTTTCAGGACCCCCTGGCCACGCCGCTCTTGCGGCGGTCTAAACCACCACCGCTGGCACCACTCTATGCGGCGCTTTGACAGAGAAGGGACCTTGTTGTGGCTCATTGTGACAACCCGGACGAAGACCGAGGTAAGCCTGCTGCGAACGACTCTCTGCTCGAAGAGCTGTGATCTGTCTTGCCAGGTTGCCTGACATGCGTGAAGCCTCCTGGATCTGAGGACGGCGACGGCAATTGCTATGATGCCAGCATTCAATCTAAGAGCAGCGTGGCTTTGGGGGTGCAGTCCCCGTGCACCGAAGACTCATCTGAAAGGAGCAGAAGCTAAGGTGGTTTCCTTGGGTGAAGCAGCAGGTTACGACACTGCAGCTGTGGCGAATGCAATGGGCCGCATGTCTTGGCAATCGATCTGTTCGTTTTTGCGCGGCTTCTCCACTGTGGGTTGGAGGGATGCTAGGACAGCCAGAGGGCCTTCGAACGACAGTGTCTTGGGTGTCACACCGAACGGAGGTCTAATCTCGGCATTTCGGAGCTTCACAGAGTTCACAGCAGCGCCACTACTTGCATCTTGGTCCGACCGCCTCGGGCGGCGGCGGGCGCCTTGGCGAAAAGGAAACGGCAAGAGCTAGCAAGAAGAGAGGCTGAGAGTTACGCCAACAGTCAAGCCCATCCTTCCAAAATGACGGATGGGGCCGCTCGACCCTGCGGCGTGCAGGGACTGCCTCCACTCCATGCCTTAAAGCAAAGCAAGTGGTTTGCGCCAGGGGTTTCCTCCCCAAGCCCAAGCAAGCAAGGGTTGAAGAAGCGGACAGTAGGCACTTGCACCAGGAGGTCTGGACCCTGCACACACTGCAAGCAAACAATGTTGAAGAAAGCGAACGAAGAAGACGAGAACGAGAGCCAGAGACTACAAGTGGTTCGCGTTTCGCGGATGTTTCCTACGCGTAGCTGTGATCTGATCACACTTCCCGCGGTTCAGTTGTCACAGCGCCGATGAATTTGCGTGGGAATCTGTCTGGGCTGGAGGTCATCCTGGCCTCTGCTCTGGCGTTCACGATGGAAGCAACGCTGATGGCGGTGCCTCGCTGATGTTCTGGTAGGAGATGCGCAGGTCACGGCTCTGTTGTTGGAGCGTTTGAGTCTGCATCCAAGTGCATCCAGGTCTCCACCGGGCTTGTGATGCTTGGTGCAGTGCATGCTACCTTTGGCTGCTTTGCATCGGGCGGGGCTGTCGAGACGAGCTGCATCGCTGTGCGGGGCTGAGGCACGCAAGTCTTATGCCTCACAGAGTTCGGTGAAACCGAGGATGCCACGCCCGCCGGGCCGAAGCGGGCGGTGGCGGTTGGGCGCTTCTTCACGGAAGCCTGACTTGAAAATTCGACGCTTCTGCCGGATCGTCTCCGTCTCTCTTGCACCTCTCTCTCAGACTCTCTGACTCTCCCTTTTTTCCGCCGAGGTCATCGGCGCAGCACTGGTGCTCGGCCCGGCCCTGGGTGGGGCGTTGCTCGCTCGGGTTGGAGGCCCGTCTGGTTCTCTCTGCTCTCTTGAATGCTCTTTGAATGCTCTTGAATTCTGAGGCAGGCGGTTTCCGCGTTTTGAGTCGTGCAGGTGCCGCGCCCTTTGCCTGTGCGGCTTGCCTGGGCCTGACTGCGTTTCTTGCGACCGCCGTGGCCCTTCCTGCTCCTTTGCCGCAATCCGGAGGGGTTCGAGAGGTGGCTCCTTTCTCATTACTCGACTGGCGCGAGGAGTACTTACCACCTTCGCGAAGAGCCCCAAAGGAGTCAACAACGATGCTTCCCGCAGCTGGTGCATCTTGGCTACATGGCAAATGCACCCTTTGTCAGAGTGAAGCTCCGCCTCATACCTGCTTTGCAGGTTTATCGCCTGTTATCGCAGACCCCGCCTCTCCGGTGGTATGTGGCTGCATCAGGACTGCCAGGGTCATGAGATAATCGTTCGCTTCTGGATCGCAACAGTCATGGCGAGGGTCTGTGTTTCCAAGTCTGAACCGTGAGGGAATGTCTCCATTGCACGGTGGTTCAATCGGAGTTGCCGCCTGCTCGTCCTAACTTTCTCTTGTCAACCCGCATCCTGTTTCTGTTGCACCCACTGCCTGGCGCTGCCTTTTCACGTTGATTTCATTTTTGTCAGGACTCTTCAGTCTGGGCATGTCGCTTTACGGGACGGTGAACGTGCTCTGGCTCAAGGAGGCCGATCCAAAACCGGTAGTTGAGTGATTCTGTTCTGGCTTGGCGCGTATGAAAAGGGTTTCTACAAGCTATGCTTGCTTGTGGGGCATGCGAGGGAAATGTGAACGCTTGCCATGTTTGATGGATGTTTCTGGCAGGCTTTCGGCTGGGACGGGCAGGATGTCGGTTTGGACCTCAGAGTGCAGCCGCAAAGCTCGAGCTCAAGCCGTAATGATACCAAGAGCTGCCACTACGTCTCTAAGTACCCAAGCCGCCGTTGATTCCGCTAGCCCGACAACCTAACCAAACCCACGAAGGGTTGACATGTCAAGAAGTCGAAGGGTTTCAGACTTTTCACGCACTCCTGTGCTTTTCAGGTAATTCTTCGGTATGCTCCAGCTTTTTCGGGTTTTAAACCTTTCCGATTTCTACTGTTGAGATTCTTCATAAACTTGACATCCCTATACCAGCCACAAACCGATCTCTCATTTGAGGTGCACCCATCCCTGCCTCGTAGAGCTCATGCTCCCCCAACGAGCCACCCCAGGCAGAAGGTAGCCCCGCCCCGACCAGATCTTTGCCTCGAACCCTTAAACCCTAGCCTCGTACCCGATAAGCCTATATAACTCCGAAGTTCCTAAACCCGAAGACCGTGAACCTCATGTGGAGAGTCCGAATACGTTTCGCGGCGCGACTTGGGTTTTTTGGGGATCTCCCATTTTACGACGGAGAGCCTGATCTTTTCGACTTTTTGGCTTCCCTACTTTTAGTTAGCAGACCCCTTGCCCAGTTTGGGTCCCATAATGCCACCAGTCAACCCATTAGACGATTATTCCTATACCCCCCCCTACACTCCACCCAATATATCACTACTACCTCCCCAATATCAATACAAGTATAGGAATAACCAATTACCCCATCTATATTCTCTAAGGTGGTATTATTAGCCAAACTGGGCAAGGGGTTCGTTCCTTGTAGAATTTGGTTCAGGGTTTAGGGTTAAGGGTTAAGTGGAAAGCCTGTTGCAAAAGTGTAAGACAAGCTCAGGTTTATTCCAGGATTCCGATTGTGGTGTATTTGCGTTGTGCTCAGGAAGCCACCGCAGTGGAGTGGTTCCAGGATGTGCAGACCGCGAAGGTGACCGACGGATGGCTCGGAGAGGGGACGAGAATCCCCAATACCCCGATTTGTGTCCGCAACTGCTACGGGACTTGTTGTTCGACGAAGAATCGCTCCGCAACATCGACAAACAGACCTATGTCGTCAAAGGAACGCCCGGAATTGGCAAGACAACGATGTTATATTACCTGCATGGTGCAGGAAGAGCCATCGGCTTGGTGGATGTTGCACCAGACGGCAAGGTGAGAGCTTTCCTTCAACCAGCAGAAGCCCTGCACAGTCTACGGTTTGCATCGCTTGGTTGTGGTGGCCAGTGCTGGTTCCGAGCTCTCGCAGTTGATCGGCAAGGATGGCGATGTGCGGGTTCCCCGCGTTCTGCAGCTTCCTGCGTGGAGGCACCACGAATTCCGTGTCTGGCTGACGACGAAGCTTCCGAACTTGAGTGAAGAGGATTTGAAGGCAGAGGAGAGCGAGTTGGACCAGAACTGCGGTTTAACTGTGCCGCGCTTGGCGGTAATGCTGCATCTACAGGGCGCATTTGAAGCCACTTTACAGAAATTCATACGCAGCATGGCAGGTCGCAACTTTGCTGGTCAAGAGGTGTCTCACAAGGATGCTCACACGATGGTGGTTCTGCGCGGGAGTCGTGAACTGCTCGATGACGATGACGAAGAAACCGAGGGTGGTGGCTCGGACCGCAGAGCTGGTGATGTCATCGGGTGGGTCTCAACTCGCGTTGAGACGGAGATGTGCTCCCACAAGCATGGAGTCATCCAGCATTTGATCAAAGACGTGCCCCGAGCCACTCCCTACGTTTTTGAGGCGATGGCGCTCACTCAGGCCGTTGCGAAGGGCGGCTTGAAACTGAAACTCAGCGATGGAAGCAACCTGTGCCTTCAATTTGGCGGAACGTGTGAGCTGTACGTGCCAAGACAGTCAGGGATGGAGTGCTTTATCGCCCACCTGGCCAAGTATCGACGCCTGTGGCATTCCAAACGGTGAGGAGGTCAACAAGTTTTACTTCACCCAAATCGCAACAGGGCGTGAACACACCCGGATTCAGTCAAGGCATTCGAACCGCATTGCAGTGCCGAGAGACTGCAGCGGAGGAGCTGTTTGCCCCACGACATGCAAGAGCCTAGCATTGCAAGATGGACAGGATGCATTGAAGCACAATGCCCACAAAACTGGCAAGTCCGTCTGTGAGCAAGTGGCTAGTGCTGAATCCATGTTGGACGGCCTGGCAGATGATGTCAAGCAGAAGTTTGCGCCCGGCCTCCACTGATGTGGAGTGCCATGCAGCGCTGAGGCGGCTTCGCAAAAAGTCAGACCGTGCCCAACCCTTAACCCTAAACTCCTAAACCCTGAACCAAATTCTACAAGGAACCCCTTGCCCAGTTTGGGTAATAATACCACCTTAGAGAATATAGATGGGGTAACTGGTTATTCCTATACTTGTATTGATAATGGGAAGTAGTAGTGATATATTGGGTGGAGTGTAGGGGGGTATAGGAATAATCGTCTAAT